TGTGTCGTGCATTTCATGTCAGTCACCCTTAGAGGCACTCAGATGTTACAGGTAGTATATTCTTTATCCCTCGTTTACATTACTATTCTTATTTATGCTTCTTGCCTTGCATACTCAGTACTTTATTAGTACTGACATCCCCCTTTTTTGTGGACCCTGCATGTCGTGTTGCAGGTCCTGATAGACAGGTAGACGAAGCTCCCCCACCACAATAGGCTGCCCAGTTCATCGGTTAGTAGCGAGATCCCTTCTCTGGACTTTGCTGTGATCTTGGTATGCATTATTGTTATAGACATCATGGGTATGTCGAGGCCCTGTTCCGACAATGTTCATGCACTTATGTTTCTTTAGAGGCTCATAGACAGGTGTCGTCTCATGTATAGTTTTGGATAGCCTTGTCGGTCAGTTTTGTTGTATATAGTCTCTCATGGCAGCTTATCGGCTTGTACCTTATATATAGCTTCATGACAGCCTAGTCGACCCATGTTATATATGTTCATGCCATTATGTGTCATTGTTGGTTGTTTAGTATTCATTTCTACCATTTATGTTGATCACATCGGCCCTTATGGATAATAAGGAAGGTTAGATAAAATGTACGTTGGTGCTCGGCAGGTATGGCCCGGGTGCCAGTCATGGCCCTCCAGTTTGGGTCGTGACATTTACACTTTTACCCTATGTATATAAAGCGCTATTGAAACCCTAAATGGCTAAATCCCTAACTTCTATTTTCTAATTCTTAATTGTCTGCAACCACCAGAGGCAGAGAAGTCATCAGTCTCGTCTCTCTCTTGAACTGAGAACTGAGAAGTCAAAAAATCAAAATCTTAATGATTAATACGTGTATGTCTGTATGAGTAGTCTTGATGGTATCAAAAATTTGGTTAATACGTGTATGACAGTATGAGTAGGCTTGAAGACTCTTCAATTAAAAAATACCGTTTGGTTAGATCTTAGATGGTATTAAAAATTTGGTATTGATTTGAAACTGTTTAGTATTAATTGAATGATTGTTCAATTTTTTTTTATTTAGTTTAGCCGATAAGTCACCCTATAACCGCCCGTTAATTGTTAATCTGATACCAATTTACCCGTTGTCTTATTGGATGGCAAACAAATTACTATATTTATAATCCGATAACCGTTAAGCAGAATCGTTAAGTGTAATTATCCGCCCGATAAGCACCTCTAATTCTATATACTCCCTCCGGTCCACAATAAGCGATCAATTTGTCTTTTTATTTTGGTTCAAAGTAAGTGTCCATTTATATAATCAAGAAAAAACTCAATTTTGTTTTTCAAAATTACCCTTATGTACGTATCCCTAAAAAGTCTTTTACTCCTCACATTAACTATGCTGCAATATTTAATTAAGGATAGTTTAGTCACACTAACTATTTTTGTCTAGAATTTTATATTTCTTTAGTGGTGTGCCCAAATCAAACTAGTCACTTATTATGGACCGAAAAAAGTACTATACTAGAGTTTGTTTTGATATTTCACCTTTTCTCTTTTACTTATGAATATGCGGGGTTCTTTTTGTTACCAAGATTTGTACAAATTGAGCTAATAATGTCAACAACAACAAAAATATTATAAAATAAAAGCAACTTAGTAAAACATGAACAAGATATGTTGTTATGAAATAAAAGCAATTTAGTAAAACATGAACAAAAAATGGAGATAGAGAGAAGAAAGAGATTTTCTTCTTCAATTGTGTGTATTTTTCTATCTATTACAAGGCCTTTATATAGGCATGAAAAGTGAAGAAAAATATGTCATTGAATATGTCATTAAGCATAGAAATATGTCATTGAATATATCATTAAGCATTTGAGAAAATCATGGAGGAAGAGTAGACATCCACCATAATTTGATTTTTCTTATAACACTCCCCCTTGGATGTCCATAGATAATGTGCCTCGTTAAAACCTTATTAGGAAAAAAAAACCTATGGGAAAAAAAATCCTAGTGAAGGAAAAAGAGTACACATGTTTAGGAATACGCCTTTTAGTTGCCTCGTTAAAAACCTTGCAAGGAAAACCCAATGTGACAAAACCTTGTAAGGGAAAAAGAGTACTACGCGTATTAACTCTCCCTGATGAGAGCATCAATTCACATCCTTGAGCCTTCGCATCCCAATCTTGTACACTAGTTTCTTGAAGGTTGACGACGGTAGAGATTTGGTGAACAAATCAGCCATATTATCACTTGAACGGATCTATTGCACATTGGTATCACCATTCTTTTGAAGATCATGTGTGCAAAATAACTTTGGTGAAATGTGCTTTGTCCTATCCCCTTTTATGAATCCTCCCTTCAACTGGGCTATGCATGCTACATTGTTTTCATATAAAATTGTGTGTAGTTTGTCACACTTAAAACCACATTTGTCTCGAATAAGGTGTAATATAGACCTCAACCATACACATTCTCGACTTGCTTCATGAATAGCAATTATCTCATCATGATTAGATGAAGTAGCCACGATTGATTGCTTAGTCGATCGTCAAGATATGGCAATGCCTCCATATGTATACACATAGCATGTTTGAGATCGAACCTTTTGTGGGTCATATAAATACCCGACATCGGTATAACCAACAAGATCAGGACTGCAATCATTGCCATAAAACAATCCCATATCGGTATTCCCTTTTAGATACCGCAATATGTGTTTGATTCCATTCCAATGTCTCCTTGTAGGAGCAGATCTATATCTTGTTAAGACATAAACTGAAAAAGTTATGTTAGACCTTGTAATGTTAGAAAGATACATTAGTGCACCAATTGCACTAAGATATGGTACGTCGGGACCAAGAAACTCTTCATTATTTTCATGAGGTCGGAATGAATGTGCTTTATCCATATAAAATCGCTTTAAAATTATTTTAGTGTATGCTGATTGATGGACAAAAATTTCATCTTTCATATACTCAGTTTGTAGACCAAGACAAAAATTTATCTTTCTAAGATCTTTCATTTTAAATTCTTTCTTTAAATAGTCTACTACTTTAGGAAGCTTTACTGCTTTAGGAAGCTCCCTAGGAGTTCCAATGATATTTAAATCATCAACATACATGGTGATTATAACAAATTTAGATCCAGATATTTTTATAAAGACACAAGGACAAATTGAATCATTTATGTACCCTTCTTTCAACAGGTACTCACTCAGGCGATTATACCACATACGCCCTGATTGTTTCAATCCGTATAAGAATTTTTGAAGCTTTATTTAATAAATTTCTTGGAAACCTTAATATGCTTCAGAATAATTTAAATCCTTCAATGATTTCCATTATACGCATATCACGTTTTTCTTGTATTGCCAGATTAAAACCTGAAATGGCGACATCCACCACAGGAGAACATGTCTCTATATAATCAATGCCAGGATATTTACAAATCTTCTTGTGACACAAGTCGTCTTTATGTCTATCGACTTGACCTTTTTATTCGCACAAGAACACATTTATACCTCCACTGGCTTTATACTTTCAGGTATTGGGACTATCCGTCCAACTTCATATTTTTCATGTGAAATTAATTTTTATTGCATATTTTTCATTTGGCCAATCATTTATCTGTCCAAATTTCATGACAGATTTGAGCTCAAGATCCTCGTCAATATTAATAATATTGAGCGCTACATTATATTAACAATATCGTCGACGGTCATTTTATATCGGTTCTACTATTACCCAATAAAGACATAAATTATTGAGATCTCTTTATCTTATTATTTTCAGGTACCTGAGCCTCTCCCATAAGGTCTTATGAATTGTTATGTCGTGGTGCTCTTCTAGAGCACTTGCCTCCTTATTATGACCATCTTGAACATTTGCTCATCTCCTTCTTCAAGGAGCTTTATCTTTGGAACCGATTAGTCTATTATGTTTTATGCATGCCATGAACTCTATTCATTATGAATTTTATTTTATTTAGAGCATTAGCAGTTGAATATGACATTTAGCTTTGGGTCAGCAAATACGTCTAGCAATATTTTACAAATGAATTATCACTTGAACTTCAAGTTCACATTTTCTCGTACGAGGATCTCGATGTACTCATAATAATTCATTACATGCATTACTTTTTCAGCTGCCAATTTTCTCCCCTATTGTTGGGATCACCAACACATATCCCTAGTCTTATTTGGGGATCCATCTTTGTGTATTGTGGTGGAATAATTAAATCATATAGCACATTCATATTTCTAGATGGAAATTATTTGGTTCCTGACCCTGAACCGATTGTGATAGGGAGAACTTATCATAACTTGGCTAGATGCGTACAAGTGCTGTTGTATATTAAATAATACATCACATACCAAATTTTATTTTGGCAATTTTGTTCTCATAACCAATGGTTTAGATATAATTGGAGGCATACAATTTCTGCTAAACCAACTTGGATTTAAACCAGTATTATCAAGATAAATCATCATAATTTATATTCTTGAACTGTGCTCTAATAATTTGAGCAATCAATCTTACAAAAGCCAAACTACAAGTTGATAACAAATGCACATGTGACCATAGAATAGATGCATCTATTAAAATCATATAATAGTAAACAGTCCACATGGAAGGTGACTGGGCCCATATATTTATCACCTTTTATTCGTTCCAGAAATCAAGGGATTCAATCCCAACCATAACTGGTATATCATGAGAATAAGCAGCATAAGAGATTTTTGAAGAATCTTATATTTCTTCAATATATGCCAATATAATTCTTAATTAATNATCTTTGCATTAACTTTATGTGCAGTGTTTAGTTAAAATAGTTTTTTCAATTGTATCTAGTGAAATAAAGAACTGGAAAGGTATGTCTTTATTTGCTACATCTCTTATAGGACAAAGATAATATTCCAACGTATATATATGTTCTGACCTTTTTCTTTATTTCACTGGATACAATTGAAAAAAAATATTTTTACTAAACACTGCACATAAAGTTAATGCAAAGATATGAAAGTATGAATGAGTTTAGATGGATGTAAAACTTATCTTTGTATTATCATCCAAGACATTTTTCATTGTACTTGATCTCATTGTCTGCTTATAATTTACATAGTCTTGACGTAGAAGATCATGAAATGAGCAATTCGTGCTGATAACGTGTTATAAAATAAAAGCAACTTAGTAAAATATGAACAAGATATGTTGTTATGAAATAAAAGCAATTTAGTAAAACATGAACAAGAAATGAAGATAGAGAGAAGAAATAGATTTTCTTCTTCAATTGTGTGTATTTTTCTATCTATTACAAGGCCTTTATATAGGCATGAAAAGTGAAGAAAAATATGTCATTGAATATGTCATTAAGTATAGAAATATGTCATTGAATATGTCATTAAGCATTTGAGAAGACCATGAAGTAAGAGTAGACATCCACCATAATTTGATTTTTCTTATAACAAAAGTAATTTAAAATGTGAACCTCTTTTGCTGACACATAAGCAGTGTCCACTACTATACACGCACAGACAATGTCTGACATACGCCCATAACCTATTATGTGACACTTAACACAAAACCTACGCTACCTAAGATTCCCCAAAACACAAACACTATCACTAAAATAAACTTTGGGGCGTTTGGACATAAGAGTTGTAAAATTTAAAAAGAAAGAAAAAACAAATTTTAAGAAAAAATATTATTTAAAAATTAAAGTTTTATTTGCATATGAATATAATTTTAAATTATTTTTATGAATTATTGAAAAATAAATTCTTTTAGTTTTTTAAATTTGCGAAAAATTACAAATTCATCTTCAATAAAATTAAAAAAATTTCGGAAAAAAAATAAAAAAATTCTTATGTCGAAACGGGCTGTTAAACCAACAAAAGAACCAAAAAATAAAAAGAAAACCCACAAAGTTAGATTCTTTCTTCTCAAGTTGCAAACTTTTAAATAATCACTATAATTAACAAACTCATGTCTTCTTCCATTTCAATTTTGACTCCATTTCAGTGAGTAATTAATCCTTTATTCAAATAAGCTCAGCAAAAATACATTTGATTGATTATGGCAGACAAGCCTAGCAGAGCACTGGTGTTATACGGTGATGGGTTGGCCCGATTTCTCAACCCGACCCATACCCACCTCCATTCTTTCGCTTCTCGAGCTTGCTGTGGCTTCTTGTCTCTTCCTCACTCTCCTCCTTCAGGTCTTTTATGGTTCTTTTTTTCTTTATCTCAAAATCATTACTTTTTGATAAATTTGATCTGGATTTTTGCTATTTTGTAGAGATTGCATGATTTTGAACTATTTGCATATGCAAGAATTTGTTCTTTTTTTTTATACTGCGTACATCCATGTTATGCTCACATTATGTCCAATTTTTATCAAGAGTCTTATTTTAGTTTGGTTATAGACAAGAGGTTCTGAATTTTTACTTCTTTTAAAATAAATCCCAAAATCATTTCTTTTTTGATGATTTCAACTGGGTTTATGCTGTTTTTTTGTCAATAATCTTGGAGCTTGTAGAAATTGCATGCTTTTGAACAGTAATTTATATGCAAATACAAGTTTTTGTTTTTTGTTTTTGATAATGAATATTATGTGTTTTGAGTTAGTAACTCAATTAATCTCATTCTAGTGGTTTGGTTGGTAATGCAGCAAAGAATCTATATAGGCGATGCCAACTATGTAGTTGGATTTAATTTTTGTTGTTAACATGTACATTAGGTGCTGGTGCTTGTGACGAGTTTTTTAATCTTGTGTAGATAGATTTAGAGAACCTATACATTAGAACATCTAAATAAAAGACGAATTACTTAGTATTTGAATGAAATGGGCCAAATAGAGTGGAATAGATCCAGAGGATTCGTTAGTCGACCCTGGTTAGCTTGGGATTGAGATGTAATTGATTGACCGATTGAATGATAGATAGATAAGAATAAGACTCCTGTAAGAAGTGGTAACGCTATCAACTTGCCTATTTTTTCAGGTCTTTATATTCATCTTTTTTGAATATGTTAGATATTTTTGATAGGGATCTTTACAGAAAAAGCCAGCCGTATTCACTAGTTACTTTTCCAGCCAGTATACATAGATTATACAACGATTAGATACAGCTACACATATATTATACATTGGTCGGCTATTTTTAGTTGACCGATGGGCGGTTATTTGGGTTAATTCTTCTTGGTGGATAAGGTATAGGATGCATCTTGGCCAATTAAAATTAAAGAGTTTCCCACTCCAAAAATCAACTCTGTAGCCTGGTGCCTATTATTTTTCTTGTTATGCTATGCCTAGGGGCTAGAGGTGGTTAGTGTTTGCCTGTTTGGGGTGGATATCGTTATTCATAAGAAAAAATATTACACGACGTTTCTGAATCAGAGAAAGCAATTGTCATGGACAGTACAAAGATTGTGATTACTTTACACTTCGTGCTAAGAATCACATTACTTCTTTTGGTACATCTTATCCGTCAAGTTTGGTATTTACTTGGGCGTTAGATTGCAGAAACGGAGGATGCAAGAATAGTCAGAGAATTTGCTGAGCTAGTGGATGCAAGTGAAGCTTATCTTAACCAGGTGAGATGCAATTACTTTATAGCAACTAATAAAGATGTATGAAATTTGTTAGCTTAATTAACACATATTATGCTAAAGATCTCTTCTTTTTCTTCTTAAGAATGAGGCAGAAATTTCTGAAACACAAACTCAGGAGAAACTTGTAGCGGCTACAATATCAGAGAGGTAGGACAACTTTTGTTTACATGTTGGAGTTTCGTGGATTTAAATTATTTATATTGTTAAAAATACCTTCTTGAACAAAATGTCGTTTCAGGTTTATGGGGATGAAAGCTGCTGTCATCAGTGATGATTTAAGATTGAAGAGTTTCTGTGATAAGCTCGGCTTCACCGTCTTAGAGTTGAATGAGGTAATTGGCACCGTTATTGACCAGGTCGAGTCATCCGTCTTAGCTTCCAAATTGTTAGAGTTGCTGGGTTTTCAACAAGGGAAGACCTTAGAGTCGAGCCAATTTGATTTGGTTATCCTTCACGTTGGAGCTGGTCAAAGGACAAATGGCCTGAAAGACTTGGATCATGTCAATCGCTTGGTCGGCGATTTAATGCAAATGGCACATCCCGGAACGGAAGTAGGTTCTAGGTTGCACATGTCAGTTGTATTGAGCTATGGTGTTGTTCGCGAGGATGATGATTCCATGTATTCCATTGCTGACGCTAGACCAGAGAGTAACTCTAAACTTTCTTGTATTTTCCCTCGTCAAAGTTATACAATTAAAGAAGGAAAACCACGACCGAATGTTAGGTAAGTGCAATCTTGTCGCTTTCATTCTATGTCGTCCACGCATTAGTGGTATCTGACGTATTCTTTAACAGGCAGTATTGCCCCATGTTAGTAGCCCAGTGGCAGAATGCGGTGACTCGAAAAGATATGGCGGAGGCATATTTATACAAGGATTTCAAAGAGGTATCCAAGATTAAGAAGAGCTTAATGATTTATACATCATAGTTTGTGTGATCTTGCCTGGTTTTTCATTGATCCATAATAAGTTTAGTTTCCCAAAGAAATATTACAGTTTGATAAAAATGGTGCCAAATTCGATGCCACGTTTTGTTTCATTGGTTGTGGGAAAATTACACTGGACGTGGTAACGTGTCAACTTGTAACTCTAAATTAAGCTTGTATTGAATATTTACAAGATTAATATTTTTCTGGCTTTTTTAATAACCAAATTTTGTCTGTCTTTTCCTTTTACAATCTCAAAAGAGAAGTGTCTGCAAAGTATGATTTTTTTTAGGTTTCTGGCTCAGAAATATATATTTAGTGAAACAGCCTTGGCTTCCCGTGGAGAAGTCAAAGAATCCCTGTTACTCATCATGAGAAAAAGGTCATCATTTTATAAAAAACTGAAACTAAAATAGTGATTTAAGGATTTTTGGAAGATTTTTACATGCTACTGATTGAAGGTTTTACATGTGGATCGCATTCTATTCAATGTGCAGAACTTGCATCGATTCTGTTTGGCATTTTAATTACTCCTAGTATCCCTGATTCTGTGCTTGATCTCTACACTGTGTCTCTATTACATAAATTCACAAGAGTTATTGTCTGCTAACATGGATATATACGGAAACTAATATTCTGTATTCTCGTCTTTCAAACAGTATGGCGCAAACCTTGTGATTCCAGCTGATAGATTTTTACATGAAGTGGCATTTAAGATGTGGAAGGCTCCAAAATACGGAGCTTGAGGTAGAAGTACAGGGAAAGCGTTGATAAAAGCTCTGTATGAGATGAAAAACAATCCGGCGTTCTGAATCCAGATTTGTCATTTTGGATCTTTATTTTGATAAATGAGGCTTGATCGTAGCAGGGGACTCTGATCACCAAATAATGAGGCTTGATCGTAGCAGGGGACGCTTCTGATCACCAAATAATGCCTTCCTAGGAATAACAAGAACTAATAATCAGTCAACCGGATATTCATGGCACCTCTTTCAGGTGTCATTTTCTACTTTTTTGTATAAAATGTACCCTTGTTGGCAAATCAGTGGTCTGATAATTCTAATGGTTTTTCTTTCAGTTGTCCTTTTCTATTTTTTTTTCATTACTTCAGCTTACCGAGTACATGACCCTCGATAAGAAGGTATGGAGGACGAGTATTAGGGTTGAAGGTTGACAGACAGTCGTAAGTCTCTCCTAGGCGTGGCAGTAATACTAGTTCTATTGTTGTATTTTCTTATTCTTGGTCCGTTATTAGTACATGTGTTATTCGCTTCCATTATCCTGTTACCTTGTTGTTGCAATTGTTTGTTGTTTTAGATTCACTGTCCCTTAAGCCTAAAGCCTAGGATCTACGGGAAAAAACCTCTTTATCTACACAAGCTAGGGGTAAGGTCTGTGTATACGGTACACATTACCCTTCTTAGAACCCACTTGTGAAATTACACTACTGTTCTTTGTTTGGTTGTTGTTGTGTAGTGTGTGCAAACTAAATCAGATTTTGTGGTGAAGAAAGGCTTATGCTTCGTATTGCATGTTGCATATTGCGTATTGCATCTTGCCTTTGTTTTGCTTTAAGGAAGAAATGCTCTTTAATCTTGGATTTTTCTTTTGAATCACTAGAGAAGTACTATAAAGCTCACCCTTTAGAAAGCAAAAACAAATTAGTCTTACAGCAAAATTTATTTTTCTTCCTTTCTTTTGTCTATCGAACAAGAGTGGGTTGCTCTAGTGGTGAGCACCCCCACTTCCAACCAAGAGGTTGTGAGTTCGAGTCACCCCAAGAGCAAGGTGGGGAGCTCTTGGAGGGAGGGAGCAGAGGGTCTATCAGAAACAACATCTCTATCCCAGGGTAGGGGTAAGGTCTGCGTACACACTACCCTCTCCAGACTCCACTAGTGGGATTATACTGGGTTGTTGTTGTTTTTGTTTTTTGTCTATCGGAAACAACCTTTCTACTCTCTCGAGGTAGGGGTAGGGGTAAAGTTCGCGTACACACTATATTCCCCGTACCCCACTTGTGGAAACTCACTAAATTTGTTGTTGTTGTTGTTGTTGTTGTTGTATATAGTTACGTAGATCATTGACTAGCTCCAAGCAATACCTACAAACTATCTTATTTGTTTCTGAAAATCTGTAGCTTGTCATGCAGTTCAAGATGAAACTTGAAAAGGTTTTACTTATGTAGTTATGTATACGGGTAGTGTGTGGCCTAATGGATAATGAAGTGGTTGCAAAGTTCGGAGACCATCGTTCAAAGTTCAAATCGAGTAAGTTGTATTTTCCGAGAAAAGAAAAAAAGACAGCCCGGTACACGGGTTCAAGTTGTAGAATCAAAGATTTCACATATACAAAAAATAGTTTTGCGACTTTACTCAACTATGGGATATAACACGTATTTAGTGAAATAGTTAAGATGCACGCACGTTGTCCAGAATCTCAATGTTTGTCTAAAATATAGTAAAATATTTAGTGAAATATATTCTTAAGATCATTGCAAAATCTACTAGAATTACAGATCATCAATACCAGTACAATTGCAGTTTGTCTAAAAGTTGTATTTTTCGGTCACTATGATTTTTTTTGTGTGAGTTAGTAAAAGTTTTATAATTTTTGTGTGAGAAAATATAGTTATATAACGTTGGTATAAAAAAGTCATAATTATATATCATTTGTGAAATTTACCCACATTTTCAGCATCCTTAAAGATTGCAAATAGTTGGCCAGAATTTAGCAATCATCAGCCATCAAGCAGGAAGACAGCATATACCAAAAACATAGCCACTGGTTATTGGTGTAATAATTCAAACCAAAAAAACATAGCCAAAAAAGTGATTTGCAAATGAAACTAGAACAATGGAATTGGAGGATAGGAAAGGAACGCAGAATTAAATCCAATAACAGGAAGACAATCATTTTCAATATTCAAACTCAGCCTGATTCAACCCAATCGTCAACCGAAGATATGACTTCAATATGGATGGAGTAAATAAAGGTATGTAGTCGTATAGAAATATCTGTTTTAGCATTAGTTTGCAAGTTGTGTTTCTTTTATTACCCGTTTTACTTTCTTGTTCTTTGTTTTTCATGAAATTAAATAAAGGTAGAGTCTACGAACTTGAGTACAACTATCCTCCAGTTGTCCAGCCGCGTTATTCACTGGTGCTTCTACTTTACACGAAGAAATGGAAACTACGCGGAAACAAATTAATAATTTGATGCAACAATAGAGCACCTGACATGAAATAATAGTTATAATAAGGACATTCACGAAAAAACATGGCAATCGACCTACAAAAGAGGAATCTAACAATGAGGAGGAGACTGAATGTGGTGGAGTAGTATTTGGATTATGGTGTTATGTTTTGACTTGGTTGTAATATATGAAGTTTAGACTTGGTGAATGTGAATTGTTTTAGACTTTACGTGATTTGATTAAGACTTTTAGACTTAAATATAATAAATTATGAAGTGTTTAGACTTGTTTGAAGGTTTTATAATGCTTAGAGATGTTAATTGTTGCTTGAGCAATTGTGAATTAGGATTTTGGATTGACCATTTTATTTGGCAGGTGGTGTAACTAAAAAAAAAAAACAGTAAAATTCTGTTGAAATATGCATAGATTTCCAACGAATTTCCCACATAAGTGGTCGAAATTTACCTAGAAGTTCTCAAACTTCCAACCAAATTTGTCTGAATATATGAATTTCTAGATTATTTTTTACCAAAATCATAAATTTCGAGTTATTTTCTTTTCAATTCTGCGATAGAATTATTCGATATATTCTAATTTCCAGTTTCAAGATTTGTAAATTTCCGACCAAAACAGTTGGAACATCTATTTATTCAATTACTATATTTTATTTTAAATGTCTGACAGTTTCGATCGAAAAATGTCCGACCATTTCGGTCGAAACTTTGAAAAACACGGTCACTCCTGTTTTCATATGTATCGACCGTTTTGGACGAAAGTTTTCGACCGATTTGGCCGAATATTTGTTCCGACTATTTCCCGATCACTTCATTTCTACCGGTAATCCATCGAAAATTCAACGTTTCTGACCGATTTCCGACCGATATGTTGGTCAAAATTTTGTTGTTTTCTAGTACTTCCAATTCTAGCAGTTATTTTACAATACTACTACTACTACTATAACTAGTATAAACTAGTATAAATAATGAATCTTTACGTTAATCTTTATGTTGGCGCATCCATTTCTATCCCAGCAGGAAACCACAGGCAGCCAGCAGCCATAACTGTAGGTATGCATTTTACCTATCACAACCTCAAGATGGTCACAATAAAATTGACATAATATTTGAACTCAAAACATCACCTAAAAAGATGGACCCAGCAACCATAACTTCATATGATACTATGAGTTTGGGTATACACACATCTATATCCACCACAACCTCATGCCCCAAGTGACTACCCTCTAGGTACACATTATTTCTAATTCTCTAATTTCATGTTTTATAGAGTATTTTTATAAAAAAAATTATTTCCTACTTGTCGTCCGATATATTATCAGAATGGATAATGCAGATTATGAGTATATCCATCAATGATGAATGGAGAAAGCATAGGGACAGGCATACATCGAATAGAAATCCCTCCGACACAACCTTTTTTCAAGTCGATTCACGCGGGAAGTTCCACATTGGGGGTAAAGCGTTCTCTAATAAAAGCGATTTCATACTCAAGACTCGAACCCGAAGAAAAGTAAATTCATATTATACAACCCTTAATCGAAGAAAAGTAACATAATCAATACGAAGATCGCCTCATAAATCCATATCCCTAGTGTATTCGTTTTCAATTTTACCATAATATTGGACGGTTGTTCATTTGGCTATGATTAAGCATTTTGAGATTTTTACCTACCCATACTGTATATGAAATTTATTTACCCTCGCTAATCAAGTTTTAACTTAATTACATGATCATATATATTTTACCAATTATATACAAAATAGTTTTAAATGAGTATACCATGATTGTAACATTTTAATTTAATAAATCCCAAATAACTCCTCACAATTCCTTACTTACCGAGACAAAGCCCAATCTTTCTAAAAGATTTTCCTTCTTCTCTCTTTGAAATCATTCATCTTTCTACACCGATTCTAGAAGAATTTTTCTTCTAAAGCTCATAATTTTCTCTAACAATGGCGAAGAAAGGGATTAATTTTTTATCGATTTGAATTTCGTCATGGCTGGAATTTGGAGCTTTTCTGGGCTTCCCCTTTTCTTGTTGGTGTTCCGATGGCGGGCTAGCAGTAGATGTATATTAATTATTTGGTTGTATTGTTCGAATTGAAATTGTTAATCAACAAAAATTTGAAGGTGTTTGGCTCTCCCATTGACATCCATTAAAAAATTTCGAAGCTTTGAATTTAAATTCGAATTTTCAAAAAATATTGTTTGTTTGGATTGAGTGTTGCTGCAAACAAGCGAGATATAATATATACAAACTTTCTACTTTTAGTTTTTGGTTCACATTTGAACCATCTATCGATTGAGAAAATGATCGAAATGGTCCTTAATGTATAGGGGTTGGAATATTTTGGTCCTTGATGTATACCACTTAATAGGAATAGTCCTTAATGTATACAAAAGGTGATAGATTTGGTCCTCGACCCTAAAACTAACAGTAGAAAACAAAAAAATTTGTTAAACTTCACCCCAATCTCTCCCTCCTCCTCTTCTCTCATTCACCATTAACGACCTTAAATCCAAACCCTCTCTCAAACAAGAATGGATCTGCTTGGGAAGCTAATTGTTTTGCTTATTAGTCTTATGGATTTTATAAATGAAAATCCTTTTTTTCTTGTTTGAATTTACTTGCGAATCTGTTTCAATCACTTCATTTGTTAAAATTTCAGTTTGATTTATAATTTTGCTACCGGAGATACATAGACTTGAATCTAATGCTTGAGCGATGGATCATGAAATATATTCTCTATAGTATTCCAAGTTTGGAAAACCAATTTAATTTCATTAAGTCTTAAGAGAATAGTTTTCAATGCGCTACAGAATTCTAAACTTTTGCTTTGTATCTTGATGAAGTTTGAATTGTTTTCTTACTGGGAAAGATTCAAAGAAGCAGAATAATGGTGAACCAGAAAATTCTAGCCATTATAGGACCAATTTATGATATGCAACCAGTAATGTTGCTTGACAAGATTTCATACTGGCAAAGATTGATAGAAAGAGCAATCGCCACATGGACAACATGGCAGTTAAAATCGCCTTGTCCAAGTTGCTTCGTAGCTGTTGTGCAAAAACAAGTTTTGATCTTTAAATACAAGGATATATCATAGGGGTTCGCTCTTGTTCTTGATATTTTCTTTCATTCAACATATCAATCATGTGTAAAAGTTTTGGTTGTTTGAAATGATTGCTTTGGTAGTAACAGAAATGGTAGAAGAGATGCGAGCTGGGGCTGGATTTTTTTACTGAGAGCATGCACAGTAAAAGATAGAAGAAGAGGGGAAAAGGAGTCTGTCAGGCTTTGCTTTTGAGGGATTGGAGGTTAGTTTAACATAATTTTTATTTTCTACAGTTAGTTTTACGGTTGATGACCAAAACTATCACCTTTTATATACATTAAGGACTATTCTTGTTAAGTGGTATATATCAAGGACCAAAATATTCTAACTCCTATACATTAAGAATCATTTTGATCATTTTCTCGTCAAATGTTCCTAAGAGATTTTCCATGTTGGAGCAACCAATATCATTTACACCCCTGAATTTTACTTTAAGAATCAAACTTTCCCTTTACTTTGAAAATTTTATCATTCCCACTCATTTCTCAATAGATTTTTAAAAGTACCTATTTTAACCTCTACATTATCAACATTATCTCTTTCAATTTTTTTAATACCTTTTTAGTATCATGATAATTTTCTTTTCTAATATTTATGTTTTGAACTCACCTATATATATAATAATTAAATTTTAGTTTGAACACTGAAAAATTAAAAATTGTAATCAAACATATAAATTAATGACATTGAATAATGAAAAGAATGAGCAGAATAAAAATTAAATAAAATATTTGCTCTTGTCAATAACTTTATTTATAGAAATCGGATTTTTAATAAAAAACTATTTACACAATCAAGAATAAAAAATGATAACTTTATAAGCATATTCTTAATGCAGGCAATACAAATTTTTATAATTATTAAAAGTAAAGACAATTTATAACCAACTTCTAAAAGATTATTCATTTACCACTAAGAAAATAAAACTTAAATATATTCTTAATGCATGTTATATTAAAATACAAATCAAAGAAATTTAGTAGAGGTGACAAATTTATAAAAGGACTCCACAAATTAGTAATAAACACCTGCAATGCAGCCTCTTTGAATGAATATAACAACATCAACAAACATATTCAGATTTGACGAGCCTGAAAAGATGGTCATCTACTAACAAGCAGACTGCAGCCTCATATCTTTGAAGCCCGAACCAATAGGCCACAAACGCTGCAAGAACCAAACCGTTGGAGTTAATCACCCCAGTTCTGAAGCCTAAAGCTAACATTTTCTGGTAGCAGAAAAAGGTCCAAAAGGCTCAAAATTACTGTGAATTATATTTCAACATCATCGAAAAAAAGATATGCATCGCTTTCTAATATCACAGCTATGAAGCTATGTTGACGGCAGCTTCTGTCCAGAGCGTCGAACCAACTCCCATATCTTCACCATCCCATCATCACTGGCCGAAGCAAGAAGCCTTCTATCCTGCAAGGTTTTGATAGAAGGGCATTAACATCTTGCAGGATGCTTTTAACTCGGCTCAGGAAAGATAAAAGGAATGAGCAACAATAAGCAAATCAATCAGAAAACCAAAGCGAAAATACAAGACCAACACTAAGTAATGCAATCAGAAAAATCAAAGCGAAAGAAACAACAAGTAATAACAGAAATCTAAGAATAAGAAAATACAAGACTTAACACTAAGTATTGCACTAAAGCTACTGGTACGAGCTAGGACAGCACTCGACTACCTAACCCTCTACCTTAATTCTTCATCTCCACATCTTCCTATCCAGGGTCATGTCCTCAGTGAGCTGGAGCATTGTCGAGTATTGCTTAATCACCTATCTCCATTACTTCTTCGGCCTACCTCCACCTCTCCTTAGGCCCTCCAAGACTAACCTATCACACCTTCTCGCTTGGACATTTGTGTATCTCCTCTTCGCATGCTCGAACCATCTAAGTTTCGCTTCCCGCGTCTTGTCCTCTACGGGGGTCATGCCTACCTTGTCCCCAATAGCTTCATTTCTAACTAGTATGCCCACACATCCATCTCAACATCCTCATTTCAGCCACCTTCATCTTCTGGGCATTGGAGTTCTTGACTGGCCAACACTGAACCCCATACAACACAATCGATCTGACCATCGCTCTATAGAACGTACCTTTAATTTTTTTGGCGCATTCTTATCACACAAAACACCGAAAGAAAGCATCCACTTCATCCACCTCGCACCAATACGAAGTGTGACATCTATCCTCGTCAATCTCCCCATTTCCCTGTATAACTGACCCAAGTTACTTGAAACTCTCTCATAGGGATGACTTGTAAATCAAGCCTCACGTCTTCGTCCACTTCCCGAGTCGCACTACTGAATTTGCACGCCAAGTACTTTATCTTGGTCCTGCTCAACTTGAACCTTTAGACTCTTTTGCCTCCAAACCTCTAACCTCTCATTAACACCGACTCGCGTCTTGTCCGTCAGTACAATTTTTTGACAACATGCAGAAGAAAATAATTCATCTCCTTGGAAAAACCTACAACAATCATTCCAAGGCCTAATATATTTATCGTCCACAATACAAATTGTCAGCTCTGACGCACATATTTTATTACACATGGGTCAATGGAAAGTAAAGCAAAACTCAGGTCAACAAATATTCATTTCAAGGTCCAAACCTAGATGTTTTTGGTACGCTCATAGTATGAAAACCAACATCTGTAATGTGCAATACTATCCCATGGAAGCATAACCCAGCGCTCCCTCTAGAGTTGTGGATTTGAAAGACAAGAGTCAAATGGATATATGTTGTTAGTTTGACATTAAAGTCATCCATCAAAAATAGAACATGATATTAGTTCAATCTAACATGTCCAAAATTTAGGTGCCACTTGAAGTCCCATCCACAATAAGATTGTACTATACTTATGGTTGGGTATAAAATTAACAATCCAATTGGTATCCCAAAGATAAAGTTCCAAAAGGTATCAAATTCAAATTTTCAAGTTCAAGCAACCAGGAAGCGAGCAGGTTACTGCATTATGAAGTGCCAACACAAGATACATTAGAAAGGTCAGACATTTGTTAAACTTCAACATGGTAACTAAACAAGAGATTGAACGGGCAACATATTATCATCCCTAGCACGTTCAAAAAATTTCCAGGTGATCTCGGCTTCTGCTCAAAGCTAAATCATCTTGCAGCAGACAAATACAGAACTAAAGCAACGATAGATGAGCAAGTAAATGTCAAAAATCCCATCATTCTGGTATTCCATTGACTTACCCCAGTGTTCCACTGCACAGAATTTACATCCATTTCATGAGCCTTCTCCTTCTTCAGAAGTAGTTTAAATGTAGGTCCATCAACCTGTAATCAGACCCAGCAAACTTTTATTTATTTATTTATTTATTTTGGATCAGACAGACACAAAAAAATTATTTTGCCAAAGAAGGGTTGGAAGAGGCGATAATAGAAGATCAACAGTAGTTGTATATGGACAACATCATTCATATGACTTGTTATAATTATATTGTAATTAATGGAGATCGGTTTTTCTAGATTTTTTAGCTGTCTCAAATGGATTTTCTATTTTACCTGATTAAAAATATTTTATTTTCCTATAACAGTGGATAAAAATTTAAAATAGATACTCAAGTCGAGCGAGATTGGGCCAGAAGAACCAAGTCAGAATCCAAGTGTCGTCCTAAGCAGTTATCAGAATCCCTAACTGTAATCTGCTCTGTTTACCATTTTTTTAATATAGCGCTCGAGGTGGGGACAGCTTGCCCACTCCTCGACTATATATAGGGCAGCATGTCCCGCATGCAAGCACAGGCTGCCAAGGTAATCCAGCTTACCAAGGCTGGAGCTGATGGGACTACACCAAGTGTTGTAGATGGGATTTGAAACCCGAAATCTCCATGTTGTTACTCCGACGCCTCAACCACTAGGTTATCCCCTTGGGATCATTGTAATCTGCTCATTAGCTTGACGAACTAGAAAATGTACATCTTTTTAAGTGGTCCTCTAACCTAATTCTTTTTTATTTTTGTAACGGGTCCACCCGAATCGTAATTACTAGTTTATGATATTTAAACAGGGATCTCGAGGTAACAAAACTGAAAGCCCGCCTCTTTCCACAGCGACCCAACAGCTAGAAAAAGAATAAAAAGGAAGTTGCTATAGTTGTGAGCACCCTCCACTTCCAACCAAGAGGTTGTGAGTTCGAGTCACCCCAAGAGCAAGGTGGCGAGTTCTTGGAGGGAGGGAGCCGAGGGTCTATCGGAAATAGCCTATCTACCCCAGGGTAGGGGTAAGGTATGCGTACACACTACCCTCCCCAGACCCCACTATTGGGATTATACTGGGTTGTTGTTGTTGTTGTCGTATTAAGGAACCACATAGTAAAGGGCGAACCTATGACTTTCTTGAAGAACACCCCACCTTCCCGCTCCCACAAGAAATTGAGTGAATAGGAGAAGGGTTGGGGAGTACAGAGCAGCATAAAATTCACCACTGTACTAGATATCATGTAAGATGAATTACATTATTATTAAAAGAAATAGGGATATTGATGGTTTTTCAATACCTCATTGTCGTTATTCTCAACAAATAAACATATAGCGTCATCAGCTGCTCCACTAGCAATTATTCCTTCCCTGACATTTTAGTATATCAAGTACGTTAGCTTGAAGGATGACAGCGTTAGCTTGTAGGATGACAGGGAAAACAGATACAAAAATTATCACAGCATATAAGCCCTGATTACTGAAAAACCTTGAGGCAATTAAGGGAAACTACAACAATACGAGTCCCAATAAAAAGAGGTCAAACATAAAATNGGATTGCAAAAGAAAAAGCCTACATTAGCATGAGCATGATAAGAGATAGATATGGAGTAGTTACCTCGACCAGTGAACTGAGAAAATTGTCCTATCATGATATCCAGATAGAGTGCAAACATGTTTCCTGACAAGCACAAAAAGGAAATGGTTGCAAATAAAGTGGCAAACATAGTAATTATTGAGAGTTGTTCAAGACATAATTAGGTAATTTAAAGTGTCTTCTCTCTAATAGCTTAAGCATTTCGATGAAGTGGTCACACACTTCAACATAGTATCGAAGCAAGTAGAGGTCCTGTGTTCAAGTCTCATCACCACCATTTATAAAAAAAAATTTTAAAAAAATTCCACGTGCTTAGCACATGAAAAAGAATTAGGCCAGCATGGGAAGTCGCAGGTTGAAGATATAATTAAGTAAACAAAAATGTGTTCTCTCCAACTGTTTAAGCTTCTAAACGAGATTGGTCACAAACTTCAACAAGAACAATTACATCAAATATAGTTAGTAATGAAGACCACGCTTGGCCTGAGGAAAAAAATAAACATACCAGTATTAGTTGACTTAGGTGAACAAAAATCATTGTACACTTGAATGCATTAAATAATGATCAATTTTGGAAACACTTGACAGTAATTTTACAAAAGGAATTTACTGGAATCTACATGGCTAAGTGGAGGTTGAATCATGTAAAACTGACCATGTGTTGCTTAACTACATTGCCCAGGGAGAAAAACAGGGATGGCTATTGGCTCATTAAAGCACTCCGCTACAGTACCTTGTACCAAAGATCTTTAATTTTTTCGTTTAGGATGTAAAAGCAAAAACTTGTAAACTACAAACATACAAATACTAACAAACTAGAGGATGGTAAAAGCCGTGGAACTGTAGATATCATACACGAATTGTCAAACAAGAGCTATAAAGCTTTAATATCTTGCACACTTGATTATTAGTTCACACAAAGTACAAGTAAACTGTTAGTTCCAAGTCTTCAGTACAGAGAGTTGACAGAAAGTTCAGTTATACTAACGGTTTCAAACGCTCGTGTGCTAATTACTAATGCCAGATTGTAAAAGTAAGTCCATGAATCAACTATATAGGATAGCATTATGCTTAGAAAAGGGACGTTATGATCATGCTTACCAAGGTGGCTCTTTATTCCAATCTATTATTCTGTCGTCATCATCAATCAATATCCATACCTTAATGGTAAGGTCATCGCTGCAAGTTACAGAATTCAATGTAAACTCATGTTTAAGTAGTGACTGCAACAATTATCCAATTTTTTATACACCAGAGACTGGAGAGCATATATTTTAAAACAAGTAATGCAGAAAGGAAGAACATACCTGCAAGAAACCAGTTTTCGTCCACTAGCATCGGAAGAGAGGGACCAGACAGTAGATGTATGTCCGCTGAAAGTTCAACCAAGTAGTGACATAAGCTCCCAAACAATATTAAAAGTTACTAAGTCATATATCTGTACCCTAAAACATTCTCCGGTGAACTGCTTGTTATAGGCCACATGAATATAATTAAGGCCAAAGGCCAATGAGGAAATACGAAAAACCTAGTAAAAAGGCAGTCAAGACGGCACAAATTTGAGAGCCGAACTTTGAAATGCCTGAATCATTCCATTGATATGAGAACATATAGACCACTTTCCACTGTCAGTAGTTTTTTCAAATGACTTCAGACACTCTAAAATAGCAATCCAACATATGGCCATTATACGAAGATCCCAAATAGTCATACAATAAAAGGTTTGTCAGGAGAAAAGATACATTTACGCACTATCAAGACATAACAAAATGAACTATATACCACCAAAAGGGAAATAACCAAGAGACTACAAAACATTTTTTTATCCAATCAACTTAAGGTAGCCATAATTGCTAAAAGTACTTCATCCATTATCAAACACCATTGTTTACATCATTTCTGAGCAAATTGGTAAGAACGGCTCAAAAGAAGATATTTCAACTTTTCTGTACCCATATCCCCGCCCATAAATAAATAAATTTCATGAAATCAAGGATTATTTAGTATGATTGTCACAACTGTCTCTTCCCATGTTTCTTTACATCAAGAAAGAATTCGACTTGTTGACACATTTTTCTTCAATTTGAATTCGGACAGTTGACACATTTTTCTTCAATTTCTCCTTATGCAAACTCTTAAGGTAAAACAAAACAAGGAAAATATCATTTTAACAAACTCAAGAGCTTCGGAAATTTGGCTAAGCAAGTCCACTTGCTCTACTGCACGCAAGTATTCATCCATGTTAAGATGCCTGTCCAACTACTTCTCCATCTCTTTCCCCAAATATTTAAGTTCATAATGACTCTAATTATGAGGTCTTCTAGATAATGGAGATCTCATATCAATTGCTTTGCAATTACTGAGCAGGATTTCATAAGTTTTTCCATCTGGAACTTTCAACTATTCAGCATGCATAATATGGTAAGCAGAATATTAACCTTAAGTCTGAAATTTCGTACAGAATAACAAGCATTTCTCCATCTTACTAAAGTGACCAAAAGGAACAAATTTTCCTTATCACAACAAAAATGAGAACAATAAAACGGATAGAAGCACCGCTACAGGATCCAGACAATACATTAGAGTGAAAAACACAGTTTAAGGATCACTCAATCTAGCTACACATAGTACAAACCTTTTGACCCTAATTGGAGTAGGTTCTACATGAAACATGTCAGTTCTTTTTTCCTGATTGACAAAAACAGTTTAGTTCTTTGTTTGAACTTAGAACTGCGTTGAAATCACGTGACCTTATGGGATTTGCTACAAACAGTCATAACCTACCTTGTTCTGAAAGCTGCTTAGATCCTTTAGAGCTATAACATAAAGTGCACTGCTAACAGGTATTCAACGGAGACCTCTTGTTTCATATTTTTTTTCCAAATAAAGAAAAAGATTATATGCTAAAGAAAGTTAGAGGTCATTCCGTGAATCGTACTCAGGAACTCTTGCAGCCAAAGCAAGAAACATTCCTCGCATCCAAAGTTAGAATCATACCTCTCCACCCTTGCACAATCTCGCTGAGCGTGTGCATGCCACAATTCCACAATTCTCACTTTTACGAAGTTACCCACTTCATACACGTTTTCATAACCTCTAATGTGAGAACTTTAGATCCTTTCGCCTAATTATCAATCTGTTAAGAGTTTTTCATGTGTCAATTCCACAATTCTCACTTTTACGAAGTTACCCACTTCATACACGTTTTCATAACCTCTAATGTGAGAACTTTAGATCCTTTCGCCTAATTATCAATCTGTTAAGAGTTTTTCATGTGTCAATTCCACAATTCTCACTTTTACGAAGTTACCCACTTCATACACGTTTTCATAACCTCTAATGTGAGAACTTTAGATCCTTTCGCCTAATTATCAATCTGTTAAGAGTTTTTCATGTGTACGCATTCATCAATCGAAGCCTAAAAGAATAAATGAGTCAACAACCTATTGCTAGGACTTATAATCATAAATTTAAAAATCTAGCATATACTGGAGCTCATCCATATGCTGCCACCTTTACTCTTTCTTGGTCAACGGAAATCTTTCTTGAATCAACTTCTGTTTGTAGTCTAAAAACTTCACTTCCGAATAGCACCTCTCTCTTCTGTCAATTTCTAAAACATTTAAAACCTATGATCTCACATATTCCGCGATGAACATTAGAAACTTCTCATTCTCAAAGCTTGTGAAAATTTGAACCCAATTCTTGCATGGAAGGCCAATTCGGACAGAGGAAGCATTTATAACCTAGATTGAGCTAGCTACATGCTATGAATAGGAAAAGACACCTCACTTCAATAAAATAAGGTATTCTACATAAATGAAAAGAGCTTAAAATGCAGTAATATAATCACTACCCTGATGGCATCGTTCAAGTATTCATTTTTTTCCTCGTCTAATACATATAATAAATTTAAGATTCTTTTTTTTTATAATGGTCCTCTTCGAGCTAGCTTGTGCACCACTCTACTAACCACCGAGTACCTGACATCAGTGGCGTATGCAGGAATTTTTTGTAAGCGGTGGCACATTTAAAGAAGTAAGCAAATGATCTTTTCAAAACCGCGACGCAATTTAACATTTAAATTTCTTTGAGGAAAATTGCGGTTTCGAGCTTGAAAATGATCCTTTTGAAGATATGTGCTTCTTATTGCACTATGGTCATTTAAGGAATTTAAATCAACTCTTTCACTTTGCGATGTTGTTCCGACTCATTGGCTTGGAAGATGTTTTAGTAGAATCTCTATTTAAATTTAAGCAGATTACAAATTAAAATGTCCATTTGAGAACTCCTAAATAGTACTATATAGTTCTACTAATAAAGTAAAAACAACTTTAAAAATTTCTAACTACTAAAAAGTAAAAGAAAGAACGAAGGAAAAGGTAGCAAATCACTTACTACAACGGAAGAAGTAGTTGCAAACTGAAAAGGAGGATGGATTGGTTAGCAACTTGTGTTAGAAGGTTTATAACTTCATTTACCCTACGGAAGTGGATGTGCCATAATCTTCTAAATAAATGGGGCTATAATAAAAAAAGATTTCGGTACGATCGATCCCTCAACCTAGCCAAAATAGCTCAGGCGCCTGACCAACTAACCAAGGCAAGTTTAACATTAAGCAGTGTCACTTGTTTATTAATTTTGTATGTATGCCATTTTCCAGATTACTTTTATTGATATATTAGTAAAAGAGTTCGACGAAGCGATACCACATGACACTGCTTGGGCATTGGTGCATCCGCCCTTGCATGACACCTCACCAACACAGGTACCGGATGCAAATCTAGCAGCCAAGGCTTATGCAGAATGAAAGAAAACAACTAGCATTTTCTTGGGATTCGAACCCTGATCTCCAGGATTTTCACCCATTTCATTGACTACTATGCCACACCATTGGATGCAATAAGTTTATGATTTTGTTATGCCCAATAATGACTCTTACCTATTAGATTCACCCAAAGTTTGAATACAATGCCAATCATCACCGAGATTCTCTATCCATACCTGCATTTCAAGCACCGCTAAATATTAGATATTATTTCTTATAAATGGAAGCAGGGGCGGATGCACCTTTAATGAAGCGGTGTCACGCGACACCGCTTCGTTGGAAAATTTTAAGTATATGTGTCGATACTATGAGGAAACAGATAAGTAGGAGAAAATGACACCATTTGACAAAAATTGTCTCTTGGTGCGTTGGTTGTGTGTGTGATTTTGTTCTAAGAGGTCAATGTTCAAACCTCAACTAGCACATTTTTTTGTAAATATTTGAGAGAGCTTTTATGGATAAAAATTGTGATGAAGTAGAATTGAACTTGGGACCTTTTATAACTTAAAAATCAACAAAACCAATAGACTAAGGCTATTTCTAGTTTAGAAATATGATAATTAAAGTTATTATCTCATTCTTTTATAAATTTTGACACCGCTTATAAAAATTACTGTGTACGCCCGTGAATGGAAGAGAAACAGCCACTAGTATGCCTTATATGTAACAGGGGTATGAAAAGCATGCTAGAATCTCTCTAAACAAAGAACACACACACACACACAGAGAGAGAGAGAGAGAGAGAGAGAGAGAGAGAGAGAGAGAGAAAGGAGGGACGCTAAGTTCAACTCAAATATACCTTAATGGTGTTATCATAACTACATGAGAACAACATATCCATTAATGGACTCCATTGAACCATCTTAACATCTTGTGTGTGCCCTTGTAACACTGAAACACAGTCAAATTCATTTCCAGGTAACACTTCCCATATCCAAACCGACTTATCTCGTCCACACGTCGCGAGTAGTGAGCCTGAATGATTCCAAGAAACACTTTTCACTTCATTGTCATGACCCTGGACATTACCCGCATAAGAAAAATAAGAAGGCAGACAAGAGTTTAGTAGATTTATAACTCATTAAAGAAAATAAAAGGGCCAAATACAAAAGATTGATGTAAATTACGATCACAAAGCAATATAAGCTAAATTAAATGATTCCACTTAGCACAGCTGCCCAGGTAACAAATTCCCTTATTTTACTGACAGATTTATGAAGTTTTTATTGTGCTATGCACAGATATAAACAGACAGAAGATGCAACTTTTGCCTACTTTAACACTAGTTTTTGTCAGAGCTGGGGTAATGAATATGAACTGAAATTAATATGCTAGAGAGATGCCAAAAGGTAATTGTACCTCCAAAGTGGAAACACACTCAAAGTCAACCCCAACATTTTCCCAAATAGCAGTGGTGGCATCAAAGCTAGCTGTTGCCAAATTTTTGCCTGACGGTGACCAGGCACATGATCTAACAGTTCGTGTATGTGTTTCCTCCAAAACAGCCTGCAAAAAATTTCCTCCCAATAGTCATTATAGCTCCCCTTTTTTTTTTTACTTTTACTAGAATAGTCATTATAGCTAGAGGATGAAGGTCACTTTATTTCCTTGAGGATGGAAAGAGTGCTAGAGAAAGATGAAAGAAGGAAAACAGGAAAAAGGTACACATTGTTTTTTGGCTGCATAACCCCATGTATGATTTCCAAAAATTTAGTTAACTATCAGAAGTAAATAATAAACTCCGCCTATGTGATCTTGCTCACATTGTCAGTCCAAGACCGAATAAAGGAGGGTTGCAGTAGGCTACAGCCAGCATAAAACTAGCCAATTCCATGATCAATCCTCACATTACAGTTTAAATGGAGTAAAGTGGTTAGTGAGTATTCATATAGCCGACCCCCACTTGTTTGAGACTGCGGTATAGTTGTTGTTTCAGAAGTAATAATAACTCTGAAAAAGAGAAACTAACCAGATCTCAAAATCAACGGGCTAAGGCAGTATCCAACAGAACAGATTTGAAGCTAATACTCTCAAAAGTAACTCTGTAGTCAATATAGTTCCATCCAGAGGCGGACCCAAAATTTGGCGGGCACCATGACATTCAATATAAATTTATCACTGCTCATAAAGATTGGTAGGGGGGTCTATGCTAATATCTTACTATCTTGAAGACATTTACAAGTATACATAGAGTTTTTGTCAAAGTTTCCGGATGCCCGTGACCCCTCTACGTATAGTGTGCGTCCGCCTCTGGTTCCAGCGCATTGACTTCTTCCCGTGTAAATAATTAATTTGCAACAATTCATAATTTTCTTTTTCTTAGACAGAACTGATACTTTATAGAGTTAATAAGCCATTAGCAACTTCTTCTAGAGAAAACTTTGGATTCTAATTGCAACTCTTTAGTGTATCCAGCTGATAATAGTGCAGATTGTCCAATACTTCTTTTAATTTTTTCACTTTGATAAAGTAATAGTTTTTCGAGGTATATCAATCAGAAACTGCTATTTTATGATGAAAACAAAAAAATCAAACCTGACAGTGGAAAGAGCCGGTGGAGTCTTGTTCCCAGATTCGAACGGTTTTATCGCCGCTGCAGGACGCGAGTACAGCTGGAACACCATTGATTCCGGTATCTGGTTTCCAAGCGACGCTCCAAACCCTATCGGTGTGACCTTCCAGCCTCTGAATCTCCCTCAGTTCAAAATCCTCGTCAACGAAATTCATAGTAAGAACGGCGGAGCTGTGGTCTCGAAGCGGTGTGCTGCAAAATTAATGGCGGACTGAGAGGTCGCATAGTTATTAAAGCGTGTGTGCGCGCGTGTTTGGGCAGGCAAATGGTTAAAAAAATATTAAAAAAATGAGTTGGATAATAAATTTTTAAAAACGCATCAAATATGTATAAAAATCATTTTATTTACTTAGAAAATAGATAACTAATGGGTTTAATTTTATATGTGTAAAGCCTCAATTTGAGGGGTTCTCAAATATATGAGACTAGTAATTATCCTAAAAGTGAACATATTCGAGAAGCCATGAATAGTATAGATATCCATATTATTTATCGGTTAATCTGTTTTTTATCCGTATTAAATATGAGTCGGGTCGGATTAACATTTTTTGACCTGCTCATATCCGACTCGCCCGTTTGCCACCCTTAATGAGTATATATGGATAGTAAATATATTATATGCTTAGGACTAGGAGAGTTTTCCTTTTCCATATTTGTTATAACTAGTTTCCCATATTTGTTAGGACCAAGGTTTACTACCTCACTTGTATATATCTCGTTGTAAATCAATTGAAGAAGGCAAGCATTTCTCTTCCACACATGTTCATTGTGTGCTTGCGTATTTGGCATGGTATTAGAGCCAAGGCTGGGCCAAACCATAAGAAACTCGGAGTGACGTACTAATGGCAGGGGACAATAGTAAGAGACGTCGCCGCTACTGGGAAAGCGGTGGTGGTGACGAAAGAAACAAGTGAAAGACCATATCTCTGTTTGATATAACATTTAATGACAATCCTGGATTTTGATAACATATGTGGCTCTAAAGGGAGAAAACTATAATGAATGGGCAAGGTCCATGAGGACAACCTTGAGAGCGAGGAAGAAGTTCGAATTTATTAACGGAATAATCAAGAGACCAGATGATAAGTCTCTAGATCTTGAAGATTGGTGGACCATCAACTCGTTGTTGGTTTCTTGGATTCGGAATGCTATTGTGCCTACTTTGCGTTCGTCTATACCACACATAGAAGTTGCTAAAGATTTATGGACTAGTATTGAAGAACATTTTTTGGTCTCCAATGTTCCAAGAATATAGCAGTTGAAGGCCGAACTTGCGGAGTGCAAACAAAAGGGTATGGACATAGTAAATTACTATAAAAATTTAACAAAACTCTAGGAAGAACTTGCTAATTTTGATCAAATGTCGACTTGCACATGTGGTAAGTGCACATGCAATCTTGGTGCAATCTTGGAAAACAAAACGGAAGAGGAGAAGGTGCACCTTTTTCTTATGGGATTAGACGAAACACTGTATGAAACAGTGAGGTCAAACTTACTTGCTCAAGATCCGTTGCCAACTTTGAATCGAGTTTACTCGAAGTTGGTACTAGACGAACGTGTGAAGATTATGGCTCGAGGGACAAATGAACATGGCGACATTATGGCCTTTGTCGTACAAGGGACATCCCCCTATAATGGTCGGAATGAAGCAAAGGACAAAAATATGTGCTACTGCAATTGAATTAGACATGATTCAGAAAGTTGCTTCGAGCTTGTTAGGTATCCAGAATGGTGGGGAGACAGACCTTGTGGTAATAGTAAATCAGGTGGACGCAGTAGAAGACAACAACAATATCAGAAGGGTTAAATGAATATAGGTCTAGGACGTTGCGATGCATTTTGCGCGTATGTTACACAAACCAAGGGAGGTGGCATCTCTGCAACTGTGATGTGGGCAGAAAAGGATGGGCCTTCGGGGTTGTGCTATGAGCAGTGAAAAACGTTGATTGCTATGTTATATAACCAACATATAAGTTCTGAGAAGATGACCAGTAAGCAAAATTATATATGTTGGATCATCAATGTTTATACCCAATTTTTCCCTCATATTTTTAAAAAATATATATATACTTTCAAAATAGCATATTTGTATCATCATTTAATTTACAAACCCATACAAACAATTTACATAATTTTTCATAATTTTTAAAAGCTCTAAATTAAGTTCTTGCTGCATTTTATTGCATAAATATCCGATAATTACCCTTCAAATTATTTTTATGATGATTTAATCATCCAAACTTATTATTTACACCAACATGTATGTTTTATAATATTCTACTTCATTTTTCTATAATTGCATTTGCATTTGTAGGCTAATTGCACGTTTTTGCAATAATAGCCTATATTCATGTATAATTACATTACTTGTGCCAAAATAACTTTTTATATTAATGCTAAGTTATTATTTCCCATCATTTTAGTGCACAAATAATATTTATTATTATTTATTAATTACTTTTATAAATTATTTTTTTGATAAATATTGAGTATTTAAACAATAGCCCATTTTAAAACCAATTTCGGACCAAATAAATGGCCCAAAACCCTTAAACATCTAGACCAAATACCCCGGCCCAAACCAAATGACCCACTAATCCAAAACCCGATCGGTGCCCCATCTCCATGACCCGCCCGTTCCAACTTTTAATCTTGGTTGTTGATCTTTCAAGATCAACGACCCTTATTCACCCTTCCCTTTTAATTAACCTAACCCCCAAACCCTAACCTATTATCCCCTAACCCGCCGCCCTCACACTCTCTCAACCTCCCATTCTCTCTCTGAAGAACCCTAACCTCCCCCTCCTTAAATCCTTCTCCTAATCCCACTAAATATGGGATTCGACTACCATTTCTTGCCATATCTAACACCCTTTTGGTACTGGTTGTTCTCTTATGGTATTACCTAAGTGCTTGCCTAAACATGGCAAGAAATTCTCTTCTGAAATCAAACCAAAATGGTTCAAATCTCTGATTTTGAATGGTATTTTGTCTATATACGTTCTATGCTACTATGGGAGTCCCATTTTTTGTTTAGATTCTGTTGATTTACACTTTCCCTAAAAACTAGGGTTTACATATTTCTCTCATAAATTGATTTTTAGATTGATTTGCATGTTTATTTCCCTTGTTGGTTGCTTAATTTACCATGTTTCCTTGATTATTGCTCGGTTTTTTCACTACTATATAAACCCCTCCCCCATTCCCTTTTGGACAGACTTTGAATCACAAAATTCCCACTAAAAAGCTAAAGATCTTCACTCTGTTGTTCGCTTATTCTCTTGTTCTACCGGAATTCCTATTTTTCGACCTTCCTTGGGTGCAAGCGTCGTCCTGGGTTCCTCGAAGCCCTTGGGAACTTGACGCATCTAAGGTCCTGGGTTATACTACTGTGTTTACGTTAAAAGTGTTGTGGAGTCTGTTCTTGCTTGTTTTGTCTACTTGTCAATCAGTAACTGGTGAGTTCTTTAGCCTTTGCAATATTCATTCTCTTGTGTTCATAATTTGCATATTCATATCTCTGTAATTTCATAACCCAATATGTTTCTAGACTATCTCTATGTGCAACCCTACTACTATCGAATCTGTTTGTGATATGAAACTCTCTAGCATCTACTTATGCTTAAACTGCCAGTTCTGAAATGTGTTTATGTTTAACTGGAACAATTTAGAATGTTCGAAGTCGTTTAGCTTAATATATTGGTACTTTGAGTGTCTATATTGGTTATATGACATCAATTTGTTTCCTGCCTTGTCTTGGATTTCTATAGTGATTGATTTGTATCTGTGATATGCACCAATCCATGTTAAAATCCTCATTCTAGCTATGATTTGCTCCTATGATCATTTTATCACTTAGTATATCCTTACCCTGCCTAACTCTGCACTCCCTAGCAACTAGTTGGAACCTTTTAGAATAGCTTCCCAACTTGAGTTTCCCTCATGACATTTGACTTTGTTTTTCCTTGTTGCTATGAGTTGGTATGTTTAACTTCTGGTGTGCAACATAACTTTACCCTTAGGTTTGAACCTGTTAGGTTAATGTTCTATTGTTTGTCTTACTGGCCTAATGCACCTTTGCTTATTAGTTTGCAGTCCCAGAAGTCATAATTCCCCTTGATTCCCACAAATGTCATCTGCCCCAATATGCTAAGTGTGGACTTGTGATATCAACCTCTCTTTTAAGTTTGTTTACCCTCTTTGCTGATATGTTTATTGTGTGATCACCTCTGCAATGCCTGTTTCTAAAAATGGAAATGTACTTCTTTAAATTCTACCAGTTGATCACTATTTTTCATTCTCATTGGTTATTTACCTTATTTTGAACCTATAATTCTTGGCCGGCTGAAAGTCAAGGCCACTAAAGCTTTCTTTATTAACTTTCCTAGTGTGAGCACTGCTCGGGGTACATTTTGAGACCCTTGTGAACTCTGACACACTAGGACCTGAGGTTCTTTGGTCACTTCCTTTACTACTCAGCTCTGTCCCTCTTTCTATTTGTTGAATGTACAAATTGATTTGTGTGAGTGATTGGTTTCTGGATCCTATGATCAAACCATGGTTGTTTGATTTGGTTTGAGTTCTCCTATGGTTTATGGGCTATGTTGAGATCCGTGTGTGCTAAAAGGTAGAGAAAGAGCTCAGTTTAAGGCCTGGCAGTGCTGGGTATATCTTTGGGCTTGTCTTGGGCCTACTGTTATTACTTGTACCACTTTCTAATTTATTCATTGTTGGGTATGTAATAACAATTGGGGTAATAGTGAAATTGGAAAATGGGTATCTCTTAATACTTGCATGAAAAGGGTAGAAAGCATGCTCATAGGATTTGTGTGATACATTTGCTTTCCGACATGTTATATTTAAATCTCTTTGTGCACTATTAGAGATCATGTTATTAGGGCAATCACACACTCACATAACGGGTGTACTGTCAAAGCACGAGTGCTCTATTTATTCCCATGTCTACTGCTATGTGTTGCTAGATAGGATGCCTATAGGAAATAATTGCTAACAATTGTTCTTTAATCCGCACCATGTTCATTAGATACCATGCCTATAGGATTTTAACTAATTAATTCGTTTCATTCATCTAGACATCATGCCTATAAGAGCTAAAGGTATAAAATCAGTTTCAATCGTCAATCTCTAGAAATCATGCCTATAAGACATCACTGCTCGCTTTTCAAACGCTGTTTCATTGCTCATCCACACAAT